ATGTTATGGAAAATGGAAAAGAATTTTAGCAAGCACGTAATTACTTACAATAAGCATTGCATCAAGCTTTCGCAGGGCAGGGATGTTCATGTGAAGATCTGTTCGTTGTCGGGTCACCATTATCTATTAAACCAAAACATGCAAACTCTCATCAAGATGTGAAATGTTGCGCAATGCGCCCGTGTGTGTGTGTGTGTGTGTGTGTGTGTGTGTGTGTGAAAGATAGAGAGAGGAGAAGAGAAGAGATTGTACCTCCATATTGCTTCCATCCTTGGACTTCTGTTGTGAAGGAACAAATTCAACTATGTAATCACTCACACATAATAACCAATCTATTTCTTTTCTCCACCTCTTTTTCCTGTCTGCGGACATGGGTTCTAGGCGAGTTTGTTCTCCAAAAACAGAAGCTGCAATGCATTTGGAAGAGTAACATGAGGGTTATGCGAACAGGAAATCTAACAAACCCGCCTTTTCAATTGTACAAACTATATAATTTGTAAGAAAAAAGTCAATATAGTTGGACATTCAAAATCAAAAACCAACATTCATATGTCAATGCCACCATCTGAGTCTAAAACTAATATGAAATCTGAAATAGCGGCATTTCACAATTGATAAGTTTCCTGCATTTACCTTAAACTAATGAATAATCTTTCCAGATATATCTTGCTGTCATAACATTTATAATAAAACTATTCGTACCACATTTACACGAAATAGACGAAAAGTATGCATACCGGCAAGGTTTGTAATAGCATTGGACAATGCCAAAGCTGACGAAACACCCTTTCCTCCACCAGACATATCTTCTCCCAAAAGCAATTTGGCAAACCTCTCCTTCATCTGCTCCATATCTGAATCAAATCCAACAAGCCAAATAATTATAATTCAAATAAAGATATGTATGCTGGCAAATTCTGCAGGACCAGCTAAGCTATTTATTCAAACTAACAACAACAATTATGGTGGTGACAAGCTCACCTGTCCGTTGTTGCTTTTCTCTGGCTTCGGCTTCTTCTCTGCTCAACCGTGACTTGGAGCCTTGAGCTCCATTACTTCTTGAACCCTTCTTATCATCGTCCTGAAACTCTAAAGCGGTAGCGCTCTCAACGCTCAAACTCTTGGTATGCCTTCCTGTATTTTCATACATCCCTTTGAAATGATACAGTCTCGACTTGAAATTATCTTCTTCTTCTTCTTCAAGTGCTCGGACCATTCTCAACTTTTTGAGAAAGACCTTTATAGAATGAACAAGCGTGAACAAGGCATGAGTGCTGCTCAACCTATTGGCAGGAGGGAGGGGAGGAGAAGGATCTATTTTGTCTGTTACTCAAGTTCTTGCAGGTGAGAACTTCCAAATGATTGAGAAACAGAGCTTTTGTCGTTGTTGTTTTTTGTTGCTGATGTTGTTGTTCTTGTGGTTGATGATGTTGTTTTTGTTTGTGCTCTTGTTTCTTGAGAAATTGGCAAGTTTTGACAAAAATGAGGAGGTGATTGGTTTTGAGATTGATGGGTTTTTGGGGTTAGTTAATTTCTTTTCTTTTTTTGATATCAGTTTGGTTGGTGGAACGTGGGGTGCATGTTGTGAGAAATGAGGAAACAAAACTATTCTTCTTTTTTTTTGTTGTGTTGGGAGGTTTTGGCTTTGGCTTTTTGAGGTTTGCATGAATTGGATGGTTGAGGTTTAAATGTGGAGGTCAAGGAGATCTAAAATCCCGGTAAGACAGAGGTGCATTTCTAATTTACCAGCTCTCTCTCTCTGTCCTCATGAAGTGGATGGTTCTGGTAGGTCAATATCTGCTCCTCCCTCCACAGAATATTTATTTCATTTTATATGAGAGAGAGAGAGAGAGAGAGAGAGAGAGAGAGACGGAGAAAATTTTGTTCATCTTCTCTATTCCAACGACTTCTTTATAACAACTTCATTATCAACTCTCCAATATTTATGAATACACTGCCTTTTTGTTTATATAGTAAAGACATTAAAACAGCATATAATATCTACGAATAATATTTTCTTTAAAGAAAATATCTATGAATAATATATTGACCGACATTGTTAATCTAGTGGCATTTCTCTCTAATTTGTAGGAAAATATTATTCGTGCAATTCAATATTTGGCCGGGTTGATTTGGGAGGACTAAAATTCAGCATTACATCGAATGCAAGTTGGATCACAAGTTTCTTCTTATTCCAATCAAAACTGATTAAGATTTTCTTGATTTATCATATAGCTAAGTCTAAGGTTTAAATTATTCCAATTCATGGTTAGTTTTCTTGTTATTCCAATAAAAACTGATCAAGACAGCGAGTATGAAGCATACAATGGAAGCCAAGAACAACTTAGAAATACAGCAGTTCACAAAAGAAGGAAATAGTCATTTACATAGAAAGAGAGGCATATTAAACACGAAAAGACCATCATACACCTTATAACAACATACTGGAACACTAAAACAGGGTCTCAAACCCACACTCACCACAAGAAATTTGCTTAGTTCAATTGGCAGCTCTACATTCTGATCCAAGAGGAAAGCAAACAGTAGTGTGAACTTTATAACCTCAGTAATCAAATGGCCATCCTGAATACCCCATCTGATTATTGTTTTCACGCATAGTCGATGAGCTACTTTCGGCTGTTGGGTTATGGTTATGGGTATGGGTATGGGTATGGCTAGAGCTAGAGCTGGCACTAGAAGAGCGAAATGGCCACAAATAAGAGAAAGGATTTCTCCTTCCTTGGTTTTCTCTACCACCCTCCCTTCCATTGGTATTGCTACCAAAACTACTGCTTCTACTTCGACCATTCGAGCTACCACCACTTGCAGCTCCTTGCAGAGGCAGTTCTTGGCGGCAAACAGGGCATGAGTTGTGTTGGACTAGCCATGGTACAATACAATCCGTGTGATATAGATGGTTACAGGGCATTTGCCTTGCTTCAGATCCAAGCTCGAACTTGTCTTTGCAAACAGGGCAGTGTGAATCAGAACGAAGATGCTTATTTGCAATCTTAATAGTAGGCATTGCATCAATTGAAACTCTGGATGCTGGAGGAGGGCCTCGCCGGTCATTAGCTGAAAGCTGCTCAAACAGTTCTTCCAAGCCAGGACCTACAAAATAATCCCCCACATTACCCCGCGTCACACCTATTCCAGGAGAGCCATTGAAAAAAGCTTCGAATGCACCATTCCCAGACAGTCGAAAAGGAATTTGGCCACCAAAGATCAACAGAGGAGTAAATGCCGGGTTACGTTCAGGAACTGTATCTGATCTTCCCCTGATATCGCTACGTCTTCTGTCTGTCGATTGCTGCCAGGCTGAGAAAGCTTCCATGAACCCAAACCTCCTGTCATGATCATCATCATTGTCCAGTCCAAAGAAATCTAGTGGACTGACATGAACCATATCATCGAGTTCTTGAATAAACCCTCCATCACAGCTTGGGCAAACAGCATCTCGCCCTTGCAGACGAACCGGACGCCTGCAATTGTAACACCAATGGGTGTTTCGGCCACTTGACATTATCTCCTCTCCCTCTACTCTTTCAAATCTTATGGTACAAGCAACAAGTCTCGTCTCTGAACTCCTCAATCTTCGAAGGTTATCTGAGCATGGTAACATAGGGAGATCAAAAAAGGATTCAGACACAAGGTCAGGCACTTGTTTCAAAATCATTAAAAATCATACAATCTGGACCCAAACAAATTCAAATTTGATGGTTTCATATAAAGAAATTGAAACTACATTTGATACTATCAAAGAATATCAAAATCTGAATCCATTATTGGAAAGATAAATTATTCAGATAGACTATTCGATATATATATACTTCTATAATTGATTTCTTCAGTCCAAATTATTTTCTCAAAGCTTAGAATTACCCAATTCAAATACCAAACAATAGAATTCTAGTATAACCAAAGCCATCTATTTCAGGGTGAGAATTGGTTGCATCTTCGCAATTAGTGATTCCATATACAAAATACCAAACAAATAAACAACAATATAACCAAGATCAGAACTTTGACCAGCACAATCATCAGTAAGAAAGAAAAAAAAAAAAAAAAACTAGTCTCATTTTCAGCTAGAAATTACCAGAGGCTCTGATATACAAAATCTGAAAAACCCAAGAAATTCAGAAACTTAGAACTAAAAAAATTTTAAAAAAAAATTACAAGAAACGCTGACCTTAGATTCATTGGAATCAACAAACAAAAGCCTTAACATCCAAAATACGAAGCCTTAAAAAAAATCTAGTTAATGCAGAAGAACTTTAAGCAACAAAAATAAAATCCCCTAACCTTGAGAACGCGAAGCTTTGCTCAATTTTCTCAGATTGTGTTCTCATCGATTGTGCGAAGAGAAAAATGAGTGAGTCGTGTGCTATCTCACCCTTTCTCTAGTCTCTTCTTCAGATGGGTCGTCTCTCAGATCAGAGCCGTTCATTTGATCCTGCGGTTGGAAAAAAGAACCTATTTAATTAAAATAACTTCACTAGACCATTTTTTGTATATTGACATTGACCAAAAATAAGCTGTGTAATCCCTATAGTCTATACCCTGCCAAATAACTCAAAAAATATCCTTATTTAAGAAAAAAAAAAATCCAAAATAGAATTACATTTTTAAATGGAAAATTACACAAAAATAGTCTATT